TCCTTGTTAGTATAGTGGACAGTCTCTCTGTCTGTCATGTAGAAGACTGGAGTTCGATTCCCTGAAAGGGAGGCTGCTTTTTTTTTTTCCCCTCCTCCATTAGGTGAGACTGTATGAAAGCCAGGTGTTTATAATATTATAATCACACAGATGGCCTAGTGGGCAATACCACACCACAAATCAGTGTAAAATGCAGACAGAAAACATAAGAGTTTGATGCCTGCTCTGGCAAAAACATGGTTCTACCAAGAAGAATACTTGGGTAACATGATTAGATGATAAGGTGCTCTGGATAAGTGAAGTATAACAGTATGTTATAAATTGCCAAGTGCAATAAATGGACACCTAAGGCTAGGTTCGTGAAAGCACAGCCACTCTGATATAAACTAGCCTATAACCACACAAATGTTAGGCACTCTTCTCATCTATGGCCAAATAACATTGTAAGGCAATACCACTAATGTTGTTGAAAATGATGTCATGACAATCCCTGGTAATGCTAACTGTAACTGAGCTAACTAACTAGTTGCAAATTCTGGGTGCGTGGCTTTGTGTACGTGGGCAGGAATAGGAGGCAGGTTCATGGAGTATAAAAATTCTTCCAATGTTGTTGTTCTTCACCCTTGTACTTAAACGCTAGCGCTCCAGGCTAGTCTTGATTAATGCCAAGCAGAGGGAACATTAGGCTTATACCACAAGCCTTCAGAGTCTAACGATATGTCATGAAAGCACTAAATTACACATGATGTGGGCTAGGCTCAACATGTTTATTCAAATAGTGTAGTGGAGATGTGGGTGTGGTTAAGTAACACTGGTGCAGAACGTGACCTACAGAGTAGTGGCGTGAAAGTTTGATACGTTGATAAACATCATAGGCTTGTGACAGAATGTCAATATTCATCATTGTATAGGCCTATAAGGTACTGCAAATAGGTTTTATGTAAACTTTTTTTCCCCCTGGGGGACTGTCTTGGAATTATCATAGATGCAATCTACAATGAACATTTCTTAAATTGAGTGACTAAAACACTCATTCATTCATTCATATTAGCTTCCATTGTTATGCTGATGACACACAGTTATACGTCTCGGCTAGGCCAGGTGAGAATAGCCAGTTAAAGAAAGTTGAGGCGTGTGCGATAGACATAAGAGACTGGATACTAAGCAACTTTCTCCTTCTAAACCCGGAAAAAACAGAGGTTCTGGTACTGGGACCACAAGCCGCTAGAAGTAAGTTTAAAGATCACACTGTTACTTTAGACGGTCTCTCTGTTTCAAGTAGTCTAACAGTAAAAGATCTCGGTGTGATTATAGACTCTAATCTCTCGTTTGAGGCGCATGTAGATGTTAGCATTTTTCCACCTCAGAAATATCGCTAAGATTAGAAATATACTTTCGCTAAGTGATGCTGAAAAACTAGTCCATGCATTGATCACGTCCAGATTAGATTACTGTAATGCTTTACTATCTGGATGTTCGTCTAGGTGCATAAATAAGCTTCAGATAGTTCAGAACGCTGCAGCGAGGGTCCTTACTAGGACTAGGAAGTATGAGCATATCACGCCAGTCTTATCTACATTACACTGGCTCCCAGTAAGATTCCGCATCGATTTTAAAATATTACTCCCAACCTATAAAGCATTAAACGGTCTCGCTCCGCAGTATTTAAGCGATATGTTAGTACCTTACGTTCCGCCGCGCCTACTTCGCTCTAAGGTACTTCGCTCTATCAGTACCATGCATTGCCAAAACCACGGCAGGGGGCAGAGCTTTCTCTTACCAAGCCCCAAAATTATGGAATAGCCTCCTAGTTAATGTACGTGAAGCAGACACGGTCTCAGTGTTTAAGTCGAGGTTGAAGACTTATTTATTTAACCTAGCATTTAGCGACTAGTGTTTTAGACAAAGGAGTAGATCTGGGGGACTCGTGGATGTTGAGTGTTATGGTGATCTGGTGTGTTTGGATGCTGTCTTCCTCACTCTCGTTAGTCACTCAGGTGTGTGACGGCAGAGTGACTGTATGCCCTACATGTCAGGGATCTCTCACGTCTGTGTTTCCCCCTGGTTCTCCTTTTAGTTATGCTGTTATAGCTAGTCCTGCCGGAGTCCCCTGCACTCCTCATTAAGTTTTATCTCCACACGGTGACTGTGAGTGTACCTAACCACTTTCCTTCTCTTTCTGCCGAGCTACACTCCTGAGCTACCGGTGATCCAGACCCCCCTACGCTCTGGACCAGATGAGCATCACTCCTGAGCTGCTGGTGATCCAGACCCCCCCCTTCACTCTGGACCTGTCCACCGGCAATGCTTCACACTGCCACGAAGACGTTTCAGCTGTTTTCTATGGACTACACAAACGCACATTGTACACACACACACGCGCACTACAGTGTAAACCCATATGAGGATGGGTTCTCTGTGGAGTCTGGTTCCTCTCAAGGTTTCTTCCTATCACCATCTCAGGGAGTTTTTCCTTGCCACCGTCGCCCTGCTTGCTCATCAGAGACGTCACACACACACACTTCTCTTTACTTTTGTTTGTGTAAAGCTGCTTTGAGACAGTGACCTTTGTAAAAAAGCGCTATACAAATAAAAATGAATTGAACTGAATTGAATTCATTCATTCATTAATATTTAGTAACCACTTTATCTGGGTCAGACATCTAAGATGATAAAAAGTATGCAACTCAAGGATCAAAAAATCTGCAGGAACTCTTTCTTCTCTGAGGCAGCCAACACAGTCTTTTCACCTTCCTCCTGGATGTGGGCTGCTTAAAGCCACTTGACAAAATAATATACAATAATATACGATTGTTGGAGGGTCTGCTGTGGCAGGCAGTTTGGATGGTGGTGGGATTTTGCCCAGGTAGAAGATGAACGTCTTCCAGTAGGTGTTCCAGCATACTGGGGCTCTAAAACAAATCATGCACACTGCTCTGTGACAGTACCAGCTCCTCTGCTCGTGTGAGCTGTGGTGGTGCCAAACCACTTTAGAGGCCTTCTTGCTGAATAAATTATTAACTAAAATAACAGAGTAAAAACTCTGCTGTAGTTCTTTCCCATGTGTATGTCCTCTTGTCATATTGTTGCATCAAAATGTATTGCATTCTTATTCACATGGAGATCTTGAGTAATTCTGTCATCTAGCTTTGCCCATCTGTTCCCTTTCTTAGAGCTTTCTTACATCAGATTCTACATCAGGTAGTGTTGCACTTTCTAGGGTCCCTTGAATTCAGAGCAGCAAAGTGAGTGGTTAAGTGTGTGTGTGTCTGTGCTGATTTGAAGTTCTTTACAGAACAGGAAAACTGTAGAACGGAAGTGTGTTAAGTGTGTGTGTGTCTGTGCTGATTTGAAGTTCTTTACAGAACAGGAAAACTGTAGAACGGAAGTATGTGACTACCTGTTTTTATGGTGTTGAGTACAAGATTTACAGTTTGCCCTTTATATTTACTGCTTTAACTTTTGATAAATAGAGCAGTTTCCTTTAATTAGCAGCTGCTTGTCTGTGCCATATGCACTGATTAACATTCACGGGTGTCACTGTTTTGTTGAAAAATTGCCCTGCTCGTTTTATTAAAATAATCATAGTAGTCCAGTAGACCATATGGCACACCCTTGATCTCACTGAAAAACAGGATAAATTGCCTTGAATAAACCATAAAAAGCATGCAGTTTTCAATGATTCTGCTATTTCTACAGGGTGCCAAAACATTCTGCACTAAAACAGGAAAGTTCCACATTGTTTACAGGTGGCTTATTTGTAGTGTGAAGGTGACTTTTTTTTTTTAGCCTAAAGTGTTAGAAGTAACAAAAACACAGCGAAAGGAATGAAAATTACACATGCAAATGATCAACCAGGAGGAAGTAATGAAAGGCACTTGTTATAAAACAGCAAAATTATGAGGATAAACAAAGTGACTCAATAATATCATGGATAATTGCCAAATTAAATTTCTAGTGAATAAATTATATTTTAATCCACATACTTTTCGTTTTAATAAAGAATATTCGTTATTTCCACCCTTTTCCTATTTTCCACCCCACTTTTCACGCTTTTGTAATTTTGTGTTAAGAATAACAAATGAGAAAATGATTAGCATGGTGGTAAATGTGACAAATGATAAACATGTTTTATCAAATCTACACTGCTGTAATCAGAACATCTTCGGCGTTATCAGACCGTTTTTAAAATCTATTTTTAAAAATCTGATTGATTAATTTTAATGACCTTTTACATCTAATGCATTTTTACAAATCAACTAATAAGCTACATTTATTGGTTATCCTATTATAAATAAAATGTATTATTATTATTATTATTATTAGTTCTACGTATTATATACCTGCTCTTAACACAATACGTTAGCCCCGTCTGTGTTGTCCGTCAGAGGAAGGGACTATCATAGGAACATCGGCGACTGGATAATACTTGAGTGGACTATTCTTAGCACAGAACTGACATGGTAGAATCATGGTATTGTATAGTAGTAAGTATAATATACAGTCAAGAATTATGGCAAACCGCGTGGTCTTTCTCCTCCTGTCTGAGAAAGGAAGACCTCGGGTGTACTTTGGATAGAAATCTTTTCATCAATTGTCTGAGGGGAGCAAAGCATTTCTGAAGCTGCATGCAATGAATCAGTTTATACTTAAAGCTGTTTAAAGCATAGCATTTGTTTTCTGAATGAGTGATGAGTTAATCCATTGCTTCCATGGCAACAACTACCAATATGTTAACAGTGATGTCTTTAATGTCATGTCTGAGTCTTTATAACCAGTGGAAATAATTTTTAAAAAATCATTACGATGCTCAACACCAGTGCTGGAAAAATACCTTTCTCCAATACAGAGTGACTTTTCCGTCAACATTCTTCATGTGGTTTATGTGTGGTCCATTTTTATGTGCAAAACAATCAGAACAAGAATACAAAAGTCACAGTTAATATGGTTTGGTGGCTGATGGTGGAATTCTGTAGTTTTGCCACATGAACTGAGGCATCACACTGAATTTAAACTCCATGTCATTGCCATGAATGTCCATCAGATGTCACCGTGGCTCCATCCCAGATAAA